ATTCAATCTATAACAGTGAAAAAAGTTTTTTGTTTTTAAATCCAAGCTATTGTGACACAGGATCGAATTAGTGGCACTTGTCAGCGTATCCACTGTTAGCGTAACACACCCGCTTTAAGGACACTGACTGCTATTCAATCTATAACAGTAAAAAAAGTTTTTTGTTTTTAAATCCCAGCTATTGTGACACAGGATCTAATTAGTGGCACTTGTCAGCGTATCCACTGTTAGCGTAACACACTCGCTTTAAGGACACTGACTGCTATTCAATCTATAACAGTGAAAAAAGATTATTTTTTTTTTAATCCAGCTATTTGTGACACCGGAATCTAATTAGTAGCACTTGTCAGCGTATCCACTGTTAAGCGTAACACACCAGCTTTAAGGACACTGACTGCTATTCAATCTATAACAGTAAAAAAAGTTTTTTGTTTTTAAATCCAAGCTATTGTGACACCAGATGTAATTGGTGGCACTGACTGAAATGGGCACAGTATGCACTGTGAGCCTGACACAGAAGCTGGCAGCAGTGGCAGACAACTGACTGCTATTCAATCTATAACAGTGAAAAAAGTTTTTTGTTTTTAAATCCAAGCTATTGTGACACCAGATGTAAGTGGTGGCACTGACTGGGGAAATGGGCACAGTATGCACTCTGAGCCTGACACAGAAGCTGGCAGCAGTGGCAGACAACTGACTGCTATTCAATCTATAACAGTGAAAAAAGTTTTTTGTTTTTAAATCCAAGCTATTGTGACACCAGATGTAATTGGTGGCACTGACTGGGGAAATGGGCACAGTATGCACTGTGAGCCTGACACAGAAGCTGGCAGCAGTGGCAGACAACTGACTGCTATTCAATCTATAACAGTGAAAAAAGTTTTTTGTTTTTAAATCCAAGCTATTGTGACACCAGATGTAATTGGTGGCACTGACTGGGGAAATGGGCACTGTGAGCCTGACACAGAAGCTGGCAGCAGTGGCAGACAACTAAGTGCATTTACATTAGATAGAAAAAAAAATCCAAAAAAAGCATACCCTTATCCCTAACCTAGCTATGCTTTTCCCTATCTTATGAACAGCAGCTACACTTTCCCTCCTCTTACTAAGCATGCAGCTTGAGAATGAATCTAAAATGGATGCTGTCCAGTAGGTGGGAGGGTCTGCTAGGGAGGCTGTGCTGCTAATTGGCTGGAATGTGTCTGCTGACTGTGAGGTACAGGGTCAAAGTTTACTCAATGATGACGAATAGGGGGCGGGTCGAACCGCGCATATGTTCGCCCGCTGTGGCGAACGCGAACATGCTATGTTCGCCAGGAACCGTTCGCCAGCGAACCGTTCGGTACATCACTACATGTGTGTCAGTGTTTGTGTCTGTATGTGTATCAGTGGTTGTATCTGTGTGTCTGTATATCTGTATGTGTGTCAGTGTATCTGTTTATCTGCATGTGTGTCAGTGAGCATCTGTGTATCTGCATGTGTCAGTGTTTGTGTCTGAATCTGTATGTGTATCAGTGGTTGCATCTGTGTGTCTGTATATCTGTATGTGTGTCAGTGTTTGTATCATTGTGTGTCAGTGATTGTATCTTTATGTCTATGTATCTGCATGTGTGTCAGTGTTTGTATCTGTGTGTCTGTATGTGTGTCAGTGTATCTGTTTATCTGCATGTGTGTGAGTGAACATCTGTGTATCTGCATGTGTGTCGGTGTTTGTGTCTGTATGTGTGTCAGTGTATCTGTCTATCTGCATGTGTGTCAGTGAGCATCTGTGTATCTGCATGTGTGTCAGTGTTTGTGTCTGTGTCTGTATGTGTATCAGTGGTTGTTTCTGTGTGTATGTATATCTGTATGTGTGTCAGTGTATCTGTTTATCTGCATGTGTATCAATGTTTGTATCTGTATGTGTATGTGTATCAGTGTTTATATCTGTGTGTGTCAGTGATTGTATCTTTGTGTCTATGTATCTATGTCACCACTTCTGATGATGTCAGAGGATGTTCACAGGCAGAGGCAGCAGCTTCAGACTTGATTACAAGTAAGATTTTACTATCTTTAGGGAGGCAAAGTGGGCTAGATAGTGGTTTTAGCACTATAGAGTCAGGAATACATGTTTGTGTTCCTGACCCTATAGTGCTCCTTTAAAATGCACCTTTAGTATTTGGGACAAGGAAGGGGGTTGGGGGGTAGCACTTAATCCCTGGCTAAAGTAATAAAGTCATCCTGAGTATACCTTTAAATTCACGTTGAATACCCAACAATGTCTCACACTTGAATAATCTTGAGTAAAATACTGTATCCCCAGCTTCTCTCCCAATATATCATATTAGAAAAGCTTAAAGAGACACAAAAAACATACGCTGCCAAGGAGTGTCACATGTATGTTTAATTGCTTCTGGGAGTTTAAAGGAACCAAAATAATATAAAAGACAATGACTCATATATTTGAAAAAAAATTCAATTTTTAAATTTTGGAGATATTCATAAACCATTCCACCTACATTCTCTTTTTTTTCTTGGTCTCCAAAACTCCTTAATGCCATTATTTTTACCTAATATATTTTCACCATTATGTATCCTCCATACATACACATAAACTTAAAATTAATCATTTGGAAAAACATAGCAATGTTTACGGACAGGGCTGGAGCTGTTGAAATTCTTTCCTCCCCCCCAACTGGATTAATCTTTTAACTGCTATTTGCTTTCTGCTGTTTGTCCTACAACAAGTTAAAGATTAAAAAGGAACAAAACAGACCCCTTTCCCCACCTCCCCCAACACAGCTGCTATCTCCACATGTCTTGGGCATTGCATATAAACAATTCAACCTGCCTCAATTTCCAAACCACAACTTCACATATCCTCTTCCAATTGTCTCCTTCCTGATTGATGACACTTGGGAAGGTATAAAGAAAAATAAAAAAAAAGCCATTAAATACACCGGATAAGTGTGGAGTTTACATTGAGCAAGCTGTGCCTGTTTTTGCCAACATGTCCAAACTAGTGGAATGTGTGCCAAATTTCTCAGAGGGCAGGAACAAAGAGGTGAGACAATTATTGATAATTAAAAATATAATAATTAAAAAAAACTATCTATATATTCACTGTTATAACGAAATCACATTAATTTGTAGGATTAGGGTTTATAGTGGAAGTTCAGACATGGCTTTCAGGTGACAAACCATAACCATTAAAAATTTATAAATGTAAAAATTGAATTGAAAAAGCTATGTTTTCAGTCTTAACCAAATTTGGTTATTTGGCCTATAGTTGAAAGTCTATTTTAATTTACAGCAATTCATACTTTAGTGAATAAACCTATTATTGTTGAATAGAAAACTGAATTACATTTAGACAAAAGAATTTAAAAATCCATCTTTGCTCGGCTGCATTAGACTGAATTTTGTAAATAATTAAATTGTTTTGTGAATAAACAACCATGTGTACTAAACAGGGAATAGACCTGGAGTAAATTAATTTAACGAATACCTCTGAATTGTCCTAAGATCAGCATGGTTTTTAATTGTAGACTAAAGTGGTGTTTATCTCATGAACTGAATTGGGAAAACAAAAATGAGAGAGAGAAAATTTTACACACACCACCACCTCTATAAACATGTGAGCAGAATAGAGCAGTCAGATCCTTAATGGTTTTTCTCTACATATATATATATATATATATATATATATATATATATATACCTCTAAACCTTTTCAAATGGGCAAAGCAAGATTCTTTAATTTGTGGGTGTGTGGCCAGGGGCAGGGTTGTTCTGGGAAATTCCAGGTGACTTACTAGTAAAAATAAATACACTAGAATGACATTTAGAAGAACAATGTTTCTTATTTACACAGGTAGGAGTCTGTACGTGCAGAATTTCGTGGTGCCCCCTCCTAAATTTGGACACTGGGGAAGTATTTGTATATCCCCACTAGCTCATACTGATTTCTTGTAAAGTGCTAATCTTTTAGGACTCAAGGAAATAAAGGCAGCAGACGGGAGTAACCCTAATAGAATAAGATGCATTATTAACAAAAAATAATTTCCTAGAGATAGTAGAATCAATCTAAAACATAATGGGCAAAAGAAAGTCACTGTTTGTAGATATACTCCCAGTAAATACATGCAGTTTTTATGAACTGCAGCCTTAGCAAGCCCTCTCCTTTTTTTTTTTTTCTGAGTAAGAGACTTCTCTACAGGGAAATAACCTGTGCATCAGCTGGTCTGGGGGTGCTGGACAAGCTGATCTGAGGTCTGTGGGGATAAGGCAGGTGGACTTCAGTGGAGCGTGCATGTTATTCTGCTGGCTCAAGGGAGCTAATGGAAGTAGGAAGGAAGCCTCTCTGACTGTTTGATTGACAGCCAAGGAGGCGTTCTGTAATTTAATTTATAAAAATGAAGATATTTTGAAACAAAGTGACACTTTTAGAAAGTGGGGTTAAGCTAGCATACTCCTCACCCATAAAGCATTTCAGCAAATTGAAGTGCTTTTTCAGGTGTGTAATGGTCCTTTAACTTTTATTGGCATAAATATTTGAAATAACAATAAAATCCAGACATTAATAATAAAATAATTGGAATAGCAGTTTAAATGGCATTGAAATTATTTAAATTAATCCACTTTGCAGACTAATAGAGATATCATGTTCCGGATGGTTGATTACTTACAGCCAAAAAATTACAATACAACGTTTCAATAAATTAAGAAACATATGCTGCCAAATATAGAAAAGTGTAAGCTAGAGTTCTCAATACAGGGATCGCTATTATTAGGTCCTGTAATGATGACTCAAGTGAAACAAATAAACTTGAAATTTTAATAGATATACATGAGGTAAATAAACAAAAAGTATCTGGTCAAAACTGAGATGTCTAAACAGAGCCACAAATAATTACTTGCCCACAGCTGACTTAAAAATTATGAAGTAATTAAGCTGATTGGTGGTATGCTTTGGTCTTCACCTATCTGCTAAATGATGGCTTGTATCATCTAGTGATAAAAGAAGGGGGTTGGGGGGGACAAAAAAACAAACTCTTATAGCCTAATAGTGGAGCACTGGAAGAGGATGGTAAATCAGGACTTAAATTTTGCTTCAAATATTTGCTGATTTAAAAAAACCACGTTTCAAGTTTGAAAATATAGCAGCTAAACCGACTGGTGTAGTGCTTAGGTAGGCACCTATCTACTAAGCGGGGAATTTCATGACCTTGGTAGGAGAGATCATTGTAACACAACTAGTTTAGGCCTGTTAGTGGAGCATCATAAGGAAATAGTACTAGATTATGGCTAAAAACTCACTCCAAATAATTGCAGATATTAACTGTAAAAGAGTGGGGGGATATAGTTCAAAGAAAGCCGCATCAATGTGTCCCACCCCTCTCATCCAAAAAGGGCAGTTTTCTAGTTATCATTTCTGTCAGTGTGCAACTACTAGAGGGCATTATAATAGATAGGGTACAGGAGTCCTTGGGCATCATGTGCGGGTAATGTCTAATGATTAATTTAACGGCTAGACACTTCCCTTGTTATCATGAATTTAGAAATTACATTGCTGGTAGACTTCCATAAATAATGGATGGGGTACAGGGGTCCTTGGGCATCATGTGCGGGTAATGTCTAATGATTAATTTAATGGCTAGACACTTCCCTTGTTATCATGAATTTAGAAATTACATTGCTGGTAGACTTGCATAAATAATGGATGGGGTACAGGAGTCCTTGGGCATCATGTGCGGGTAATGTCTAATGATTAATTTAATGGCTAGACACTTCCCTTGTTATCATGAATTTAGAAATTACATTGCTGGTAGACTTCCATACATAATGGATGGGGTACAGGGGTCCTTGGGCATCATGTGCGGGTAATGTCTAATGATTAATTTAATGGCTAGACACTTCCCTTGTTATCATGAATTTAGAAATTACATTGCTGGTAGACTTGCATAAATAATGGATGGGGTACAGGAGTCCTTGGGCATCATGTGCGGGTAATGTCTAATGATTAATTTAATGGCTAGACACTTCCCTTGTTAGCATGAATTTAGAAATTACATTGCTGGTAGACTTCCATAAATAATGGATGGGATACAGGGGTCCTTGGGCATCATGTGCGGGTAATGTCTAATGATTAATTTAATGGCTAGACACTTCCCTTGTTAGCATGAATTTAGAAATTACATTGCTGGTAGACTTCCATAAATAATGGATGGGGTACAGGAGTCCTTGGGCATCATGTGCGGGTAATGTCTAATGATTAATTTAATGGCTAGACACTTCCCTTGTTAGCATGAATTTAGAAATTACATTGCTGGTAGACTTGCATAAATAATGGATGGGGTACAGGGGTCCTTGGGCATCATGTGCGGGTAATGTCTAATGATTAATTTAATGGCTAGACACTTCCCTTGTTAGCATGAATTTAGAAATTACATTGCTGGTAGGGATGGGGTACAGGGGTCCTTGGGCATCATGTGCGGGTAATGTCTAATGATTAATTTAATGGCTAGACACTTCCCTTGTTAGCATGAATTTAGAAATTACATTGCTGGTAGACTTCCATAAATAATGGATGGGGTACAGGGGTCCTTGGGCATCATGTGCGGGTAATGTCTAATGATTAATTTAATGGCTAGACACTTCCCTTGTTAGCATGAATTTAGAAATTACATTGCTGGTAGACTTCCATAAATAATGGATGGGGTACAGGGGTCCTTGGGCATCATGTGCGGGTAATGTCTAATGATTAATTTAATGGCTAGACACTTCCCTTGTTAGCATGAATTTAGAAATTACATTGCTGGTAGACTTGCATAAATAATGGATGGGGTACAGGAGTCCTTGGGCATCATGTGCGGGTAATGTCTAATGATTAATTTAATGGCTAGACACTTCCCTTGTTAGCATGAATTTAGAAATTACATTGCTGGTAGACTTCCATAAATAATGGATGGGTACAGGGGTCCTTGGGCATCATGTGCGGGTAATGTCTAATGATTAATTTAATGGCTAGACACTTCCCTTGTTAGCATGAATTTAGAAATTACATTGCTGGTAGACTTCCATAAATAATGGATGGGGTACAGGGGTCCTTGGGCATCATGTGCGGGTAATGTCTAATGATTAATTTAATGGCTAGACACTTCCCTTGTTAGCATGAATTTAGAAATTACATTGCTGGTAGACTTGCATAAATAATGGATGGGGTACAGGAGTCCTTGGGCATCATGTGCGGGTAATGTCTAATGATTAATTTAATGGCTAGACACTTCCCTTGTTAGCATGAATTTAGAAATTACATTGCTGGTAGACTTCCATAAATAATGGATGGGGTACAGGGTTCCTTGGGCATCATGTGCGGGTAATGTCTAATGATTAATTTAATGGCTAGACACTTCCCTTGTTATCATGAATTTAGAAATTACATTGCTGGTAGACTTGCATAACGAGTTTGGCATATGATTGCAGATTTTATGTGACAAGGCCACTTTAGAATAAATGTGGATTTTGACTCTTGCACAGTGACACAATAGTAAATATCCTAACCGAGACACAAATAGGTTCATTTTGTTCCCATGCTATGTTTTGCAGATTATAGATGCCCTTGCTGCAGCTATTTCTCAGACTGGGGGATGCCGCTTGTTGGATGTTGACCCTGGACCTTCTACAAACCGCACAGTGTTTACTTTTGTTGGGAACCCGGAGGCTGTTATTGAAGGCGCTCTAAATGCAGCACGTGTGGCATTTCAAATGATTGACATGCGAAAGCACAAAGGTGCGATTAAACATGCTGCTCAGATTGTAGCAGAATTTCTTGTTCTAAAATTAACCTTTTTAAACTCTCCCTCCTCCTTTTCACTGAGGGGGTAGAGGGGAACTGTTTTACTGTGCACAGTACATATTAACCTGCCTCCTGTGTCCCACCACCGGACTTCTGAAATTTTACTTCCTTGTTGGCTAGTATATCTGCATACAATTTCCTTTGTTTCTCCCTCCTAGCATGCAGTGTCCAATAACAGTTGTACACACCATCTGAAAGCAGAGAAATATCTGATTTGCAGCTTTTCAAGAAATTTTTTAATTTTTTTTTATAAATAGATAGAAAAAAAAAAAAAAGTACAATTTCCAGAAACCCTTACAAATCTTGCTTGGCTGTCTGACTGGTGGGTGTGGATTCATGCAGTGCCCTCAGGCCATTTCCCATTTCTTTTCATGCAGTGAGCCATCATAGGACACACACTGAATGTTGTAGGACTAGTTAGAGAGACAGTTTACTGGCAACTGCACCATACCCACAGTGCAACATCCAGCCTCTGTGTGGCGTTCTCCCATTATTGAGGTGACACCATGCATCTTCCGTACTGTGCGGCACTAATTTTAAAATGGTGGGTTTATATCTAGACTCGTTATGATAGGCTTATTTTTCTAGTCTGCTTAGCTCATTCATGGTCATGTGGGCTGAGGTCATCACCCCCATAACAACTTAAGCTCGTTGAAGAGGAATGCCCATGCGCTATCGTACCTTCAGGGATTAAACAATTTTGCAATTTATTTACTCACCTTTTTCCACCATCTCCAGGGTCTCCTCATGGCTGGCTCCATCCCGCTGCGCCCCCTTGGCTGAGGTCATCAAACTTGATGATCTCAGCCAATCCAATGCTTTAGGCTATCGTGCATGCACAGCATAGCGATATGCATTGAATTAATGTTTCTTTGTAGGGAACATTCAGCGCTTCCATATAGAGCATGGAAACACATTGTGCAGCATTGAGCCAGGAAGCTTATCTAGTGACCATCTGAGTGCCTGCCACTAGAGGTGTTACTATGCAGTAATGTAAGCAATGCCTTTTCTTGGAAAAGGCGGCGTTTACATTGAAGATCTTGCAGTGAGAGGCAGTAGACACCAAAACAACTACATTAAGCTGTAGTTGTTCAGGTGACTATAGTGTCCCTTTAAACCATTGTGCAACATAAGACCATTCTGTCCCCTTAGTAGCTTCAGTGGGCTGGTGGGGGAAGATTTCATGACAATTGTTTTGAGATAATGTTTTGTTTTTACTGGGCTTTTGTAATTCAATAATTCCTTTGCTTTTTTTTTTTTTTTTTTAATCCATTCAGTTGTAGACTTGCTTATTTAACATCTATATCATGCTGCATTATTCATTCTTTTAAGCTGCACCTTAAACTTGGGATGGCACCCTGCCGATGTCCTGATAAATGTGCTGGTACAATACTTAAAAGGTTTCTACAGAAATCCAAACGAAGTAATGATGAAAAGCAATTTCTTATTTGGGGCACAGTATTTGTCTGTGGACATATTTATTTTCACTTTTTTGTTAGATAAATCTGCTAGCATACCATATAGGCAGTTCTCCCAATACTTATTAATAAAAGTGAATTTCACTTTTAAGGTAATAAAGTCAGCTACAAGCACCCCAGCAGTCTAGACCTCTTTGAGAAGGTCCTGTCCTGCCATACTGACTTTCTTTCTTGGTGTCCCATATCTGGTGACATTAACCCCTTAAGGACCAAACTTCTAAGTAAAAGGGAATCATGACATGTCACACGTCATGTGTCCTTAAGGGGTTAAGCAACTGTCCTTAGGCAGCACAGCACAAGCGCATCATGAGATCCATTTGCATTGTGCACGTACAATAGGACGCTGCAGAGAGTGCTTCAGCAGACCAGGGACATGGCCAGACAAGCCTTTATTTCCGATTGGGCCCGCCCATTATGAGCATTGCCAGTGACATGAGTTGCCACTAGTGACATCCCCTCTTAGGCCTGCACATCTCTCCCAATCTGCATACCTCCTGCTTAAAGTTTGGCTTCTCTGTACTTACATTTGAAATTGGAGATGTATACATAAAATATATTCCAATCACCCTTAACATATCCATATTTACTACAGAAATTAACTCTGAATTCTCATTTTAGCGTGCGTGTTTTATGTTTCTGGGAAAAAAAATTGCCAGTAGCTGATAGAAGGGACCTCTTGCCAGCTTGTATCAGTAAATGTGTCCTGGATGTAGGGTCGGACTTATTAACCTCTGTGTTGCTTATTTTATTTGAAGTCCATTCTCTTTTGCACAGGTGAACATCCTCGGATGGGAGCTCTTGATGTCTGTCCCTTTATTCCTGTCCGAAATGTGACTATGGAAGAGTGTGTGACCTGTGCTAATCGCTTCGCAAAGAGACTTTCTGAAGAACTTCATGTTCCAGGTGTGAGACTAAATAAAATTAGAATAACAATAGTTTGTGTTATTCTGCTCTCAAAAAAGCTCTTGATGTCAAAGAGCAAACTAAGAACATTTGTTATAATGACCAAAGTTTTTAAATGTTCCTAAAATACCTCCAATAGTGCAGGTTATGTGTCCTCGTGTGAGCAATCTTAACCTAATTTTAGACCATGCATGGGTGGTGTCTCTAGAGCACTGTTAGGATCCAGCCGTGCATCTAACAATTAGTTGAGGGATATGTTAACCAGGTTTTGAGGAATGATGTCTAAAATCTTAATCTGGAGGGGTACAGACCCTACAGAATTCTATGGTGGGCTGCCCACAAACGGTGACATAATTTAGGTCCTATGGGCTTTTTCAGGCAGTATTTTCCACATACCTCTGCATCCTATCCAGATTTATAACTGATAAAATAATGAGATCTTAAATGTCACTCCATGGATTAAAAGTGTGACTTGGCTCAAACCATGTACTGAAACACTGCATTGATACAGCTTTGTAATACAAAAAGAGAGTAAATCAAATCAGAATGTAGGCATGATCCTAAAAAAGCTAAATTCCTGACAAGTTTTCAGTCTACTAACTCCTGTTTTTTGGAAAGATTCTTCTAAAATCCAACTCATTACAAGTATAGTCATGGCAGAAATAATTGACAATGAAGTTCACTAACTGCCCTTTCTGATGTACTGACTTGACTCTACCCTGACCATCACGGTTGAGAATAATCTATTAATGATACCCATTTCCTTGCTAATTTCAAAACAGACTGTAAATATGTCAATCTTATAACATGGGCTGAAAACAGGCTTTGGGCATTAGAACTTGTGGTGCTGAGGCAAGATCAGCGACCGAAAGAATTCACCATCTCCCATGATATCCTTATACTTTTGTGACCTTTATTTTAGTATACCTGTATGGTGAAGCTGCTCGGAGCGAGAGCAGAAGATCCCTACCTGCTGTGAGGGCAGGAGAGTATGAAGGTCTTCATACCAAGGTACTACAGTATATTTAGTTTATAAAATGCCTCTTCATGGAGGACAAAACATTTTGTTGTGTGAGAAGCATGCTGTATTCTGTGTAAGAACATCTAGTTAGTTTTGGTTTCATATAATCTTTCTAAATGTCTCCAACCCTCAACAAATGATTCTATTTGCCCTCCTTGCATTGATTTAATATCTATGTTGAAGCTTTTTTATTTTTTTATTAAAGTATTACAAACTGCCTTTTTTGGTGTCTTACCTTGGCTGTATCTCAACTGTGTTCTAATAGGTCTTGGTAGGTCTTCTCATTGCTACATAGTTGCAAAAGGATTTGGTAAACAATAGCCTTGTGAATATTGAATGCATTCTTGTCCTGTATATTTGATGTATTCTACTTTGTAATGTGGTGAAAAGAATATGGGATTTTAAATTATAAAATAAAAAAAGCATAAATACTACTGGAAATTAGAGTTTTATATATTACAACATTAGAGAGTGTGTGTGTGTGTGTGTGTGTGTGTGTATGTATGTATGTATGTATGTGTATATATATATATATATATTCCTTTCTGTCACTCGTAATTCATTTAGTTAATTCATGTAATCAAATATTTTTTTTTTCTTAGTTACAGAGTCCAGAATGGGCTCCAGATTATGGAAAGCCTATCTTTATTCCTAGCTGGGGAGCCAGTGTTTGCGGAGCTCGTAAATTTCTAATAGCTTATAATGTTAATTTGCTGACCACTAAAGAGTTGGCACATCGCATTGCCCTGAATATTCGAGAAGGAGGTCGTGGAAAGGAACAGGTGAGAGATAAGGGGGTAAAATGGCCAACAGATAATCTGGTTGTGCGAACCAACTTGTATAGGAACATGGGTACAAATGTATCTCACAATGCTAATTATTTCAAACCTAGGAATATTAAATCCTTAGTCTCTGGACCACACAATCCACTTTGAATACTCACTAGAGGGGTACTCCCAGGAAAGAGCAGGTTGTATACATACAATGAAGTTAACATAAATATGATGTATTTATAGGACACACACGTAAACGAATATGTTTAACCTTATGCCTACATGAAATGGACCATAGAACTCATGGAATGCGTTGGTTGTTGTATAAAGTGGATGGTAGAACAATGTCTTGTAGAAGTATAATACTAGGCTTTGTGTGTAGAGATTCAAAGAATGAAGTAAGTAATAGAAACAGTTAAAGGGTCGCTAATGGGAAAAAAAAAAAAGCAAAATACTGCATAATCTGTGGAAGAAAGGTAGTGACAAGCACTGTTGGGAATACTGGATTGCTCAGTAAGAGTAATGTAACGGATCACCTGGCACCCCGACTGGGTACCTCCGCCAGAGGACTGCTTCATAGCTGGACAAGGGGACAAACCACAGCACTTCTTGTCCTCAGTCGCCATTGCTTGACTGGGGCCTTGGAACCGCCACGGCAGGCGATGATGGAAGTTCAGCGGTGTTTGGGAGTTTCTGTATGCGATCTCAGTTCCATGAGATTCATGCCCAAACACCGCTGCCTGCGTTCACGCGAACAAGATGGCCGCCACCTCGTGGTTGTTCATAGGAATTGCGGCCACCCAGGCTAACAATTAGAACACTGCGGTGAGAAACGCTCCAAGTTGTTAATAGGTGTTAACAAGCTCAAGGGTAGTCTCTGTTTGTGCGGTTGTTCGGTAAACTAACCATATAGTCCCAATTGCACGAACAAAGCTTGTTTAAAGTAAGTTATCCAATTCTGTTGCAGGGGCCATAGTCACAGGGTAAAAAGCTGGCAAGTATTCCCCTCCAAGAACTCGTGGCAAACTCATTTGAAAAGGGGTGTTTGTCACAAGTAAGTCATAAGAGGAGTCTGATTTGAAATGTTAGAGTACAAGAGTGCTTCAATATTTAAAACCACTTTCACCAGCCCCATGACTCCTTAGCATGAAGAGCTGTAATAATTTGTGTTTCTTTAATATATATATCATGCTTTCATCATTGACCTACTGTGCACCCCCTCTCCCCCATCCTTAATTTTTTATTTTTATTTTTATTTTTTTAAGCCTGGACGTCTTAAAAAGATCCAGGCTCTTGGGTGGTTCCTGGAGGAGGAAAATTTAGCTCAAATATCTGTAAATCTACTGGATTATGAGATAAGTTCTCTGCACATGGTCTATGAAGAGATCTGCAAGGATGCCAAGGTACCACAAATCCCTCTAACACTATTATTTTCTTCTTCTGTCTGCATGCAGCCTTAATCATATATTATTGTTTTTCCTGTATCATTTATTCATAAATACCTTTTGTAGTATTACTAATATATATATATATATATATATATATATATTTTTTTTTTTTATATTTTTTCCTAAGGAGTTGAACCTTCCTGTGCTTGGTTCTCAACTTGTGGGCCTTATCCCCCTCCAAGCTCTGATGGATTCTGCTGAATTTTACATCAAACAAGAAAATTTATTTATACTAGAGGAGGAACACAAGCTCCGATTGGTGAGATCTACTATTCTATTCTCCAACCCTTCCGTTCGTCTCTTTACTCCTTATTATACAAAACTTTTAAGAACCAAGTTTATTTGCAGATTTAAAATATCATACTCCGCCTCTTATTAATGTTCAAATCTGGATGGATTAAAAAGAACAATATAGTATCAAGAATGCAAACCTATTCATGACCCTATAGTGCTGCAATGCTGCATTAGGTCTCTGGCCTCCTCTCTAGAGATTAGCAGTGATTTTACTCTCCTTTTCTCCCACACCGCGCTAGTCTTGCCATGGTTGGCCCTGCCTTCGTAGCTGAGGTAATTCATTTTGATTATCTCAGCCAATCCAACGCTTTCTCATAGGAAAGTATTGGGAGGCGATTGTGCAAACGCTGCATTGCGCAATTCAGCATATCTTCAAACAGATGCCTTGAATCAATTCATTTTTATGGGGAACGTACAGTGCCTCCATGCAGCACTAACCCAGGAAGAGGTGGTGGTAGGCAGTAATGTAACCAATGCTTTTTTTTTTTTTTTTTCTCTGAAAGGACAGTATTTATAGTGCTAAGGCTTTATGGACATTATATAGACCCCAGAAACACTACATTAAGCTGTCATGTTACAATGTTCATGCTTTTCTGCCTGCAGAAATCACGTATAGGTGTTGGAATCCTGTGATATTCCGCAATCCTGTGCTCTAATCATTCCTGGCAGCGAATTATTTTTTTTTTTTTTTTTTTTTATTATTTCTATATCCTGTCATTTTCTCCAAAAGTTTGGCTATTCTATACTTTCCCATAAACGTAAAAATATTCTTATACTCTTTTGGTGTATCCTTGCATAATGACTACAGCAAGCAAATCTCCTCAAGATAACCTGTTCAGTTCACTGGTTGATATTTGTTATGCACCTTGAACTAGATCAGATCGACTGGCTTGTTACACTTCTACTTTTGTGGGTTTTTTTAAGCTACTTTTTTTTTTTTTTTTATTAAAAAAAACAAAAAAAAACTTTATTATACTCATAGCAAAAACATATAATGTATTCTACAATTTATTGGTAAATTATTTTGAAATATGTTGTTGATAAAGCCATGTGCTCATTGAGATATGATCACAGATTGAGCTACATGTCTTGTAATAGAAAACCCAGTGCTTTTTAATGTCACAGTCCCAAATTCGCATTCTATATATTTATAGTACCCTTTTTTGCTTGCTGGTTCTGCCTTTTCTTTTATATATTCTTTATTTAAGACCGTGCAAAGTATAACATACTTGGTGGTTCAAACATGTCACAGGAGTATACATCGCAATGTTAAAGAGCAGAACAGGAAATGTCGATGATGCTGCACTTTTTTATATTTAAAGGGGAGAGACAAACAAGACAAAGCACAGTTCTAATATAGGTTAAACAAACTAGGTTTGGAAGCTTCAGAACTATAGAACGGTAGATAGCTTATTCCACCCGTAGGCCCCATGAGCCAACTTGAGAGCAGCGAGATGCCAGTATGGGAGCCGCCAGTGCCCTCAGTAATAAGCACCTCATGCTCACTCCTCTCCAGTGCCTGGTTGGTCAAAGGGCAGCTGTTAAGCATATGGCATTGTCACCACTGTCTTACTCGTGCATGGGCAGTGCATTCCTCAAAATTCACATTAAGCCTTCACATCTCCAGTGCCTAATTAGTTAAATGTCAGCTCTTATTTATATTGCGTGGCCTCCCCTGCCCCACATATGTTTTAACAATAAGTGTAGTTGGTCCGAACATGAATTGTTAATAATGAAAAAGAAATAAACAAACCAAAACAAATAGTCAGCAGGTTTGAGAATTATACATGGTGGACAGGCACCATGCCATAGATAAAGTCCCGGACTCCAGTCAGCCGATGCCCTGCAAAGTCCCTGCTTGGTATACTTTTCCCCCAAACTTCTACATTCTAACCGCCCTGTTCAACAACCTTTTTATCTTGACATTTTGTCTAAACAAAACAAAACTGCAAATCTACCTGTCTCTAATGATTTAATCTAGTTTAATCTAAACTACTAGTTTAATCTTTCTAATCTCTTCTGTCATGTGCAATGATAAATTTTTCTGTTTAATTGTAGGCGATTAACAGACTTGGTTTGGACTCTTTGTCTCCTTTTGAACCTCGGAAAAGAATTATTGAGTAAGTGGGAGGTTTTGCATCTAGCTACTTAATTCACCTAATCTAAAACAGGGTGACTGCATTATTTATTTATTTTTGGTGTTTTCAATAACATTCTATTTATTTTTTTATTTTTATTTTTTTAAATAGGATTTTTATTTCAAAATGTACACATGCTAGTACAATATATATAGACAGAATCTTTCAAAAGAGCATTAGTAAAAAAATAAACAGTTACAGTATCTTTTAACAGTGGTTTTTTTATTTTTTTTAACTGCTAAATGTCAGAGAATTGAGCAGTAAGACTATTTCTATCAGGGTTATTCATTAAAATGAGAATGAAGTGAGTTGGAAAACTTCTCTAAATTAGCGGTGTCTACTTTGCCTAAAATTTGAAATCACCTATTTTGACTTTAAACTATCATGTAGATCCCCAAATTACTTCATTAAGCTAAAGTTGTTGTGGTGCTTGGAGTCCCTTTAATGTAGAATGATTCAATGATGTATTGAGATAATTGCTTTTCTTTTACTTGGGCTTGCTTTGTACTGAACTCTTTCAATAAATCTCTATAATTTATTTTTTTTTTTTTCCTGAAAATGAACTTGTACATATTACTTGGTGATACTCTGGCTTTTATTCTTTAACATAATTCTTACTTTTTAGGTACTTAGTCCAGGATGACTGCTCTGAACATGCTCTTGTGAAGCAGACCGTGGAAGCGTTTGTGCGTAGTGTAAGAGCTCGCTCTGCCACCCCTGGAGGAGGCTCCGTGTCAGCTGCTGTAGCTGCCATGGTGAGAATATCATTTCTATATTATCCCCTTTTCTGTATAAAGAAATTATTGTGTGTGTCAGTCATAGAACTTCATGTATGTCAACATACAGCACTCCACAACATCTGGAGTGCCTTTCTCTCTCTCTCTCTTTCTCTCTTTCTCTCTCTCCATATGAGGACTGTTTGTTTATAGTACAGTGGTGGGTTCCATTATTTCTCCTTTTGTTTTCTTACAGGGGGCTGCTCTGGGCTGTATGGTGGGACAGATGACGTATGGGAAACGTCAGTTTGAATCCTTAGATGGAGTTATGCGGGCGCTGATTCCGCCATTCCATACTGCAGTTGACCAGCTTCTCTGCGCAGTAGATGCTGATTCCAATGCATTTGGAAGCTACCTGGTAAAGCTTAAAAAAGGTCCCTTGACCAACCCCTCCCCTCACTCACTCCATTTTGTCCTTTTCTGTGTGCATCCTGTGTTACCACTCTCCTTCTGTGATTCACCACTCTCTGTCCATCCTAATGAGCGATCCCACTTCTACATAAAACAGTTTTACACTGCCATTCTACAAACCTTATTGATTCAGTTATGCTTTTCAGGCAGCTCTAAAGCTCCCCAAAGGTACTGCAGAAGAACAGCAAAAGTGAGTGTCTCAACACTAGTTTAAAAAAACAAAAAACAAAACATTAATACAAAGTCAATGCAGGGCTAGGTTTTATTAATATAAGCCTATCCCTGGCATTGTACAAGTTATGAACGTCATTGTGCAGAACAATAAAAAAAACAATAAAAAAAAAAAAATACTCCCTGATTCTGACATTGCATGTATTGTGAAGTAGGGGACTTGGTTTAAATGAGATGAATTAGTCCTCAAGGAATCCAGCATGAATGTTTATCTGACTTCAAAGTCCATATTGAGTAATGGCAAAGATAGGAATCCAATCACAGTGCTGTACAAGGGGAAGACTCATATGGATGTACACTGTATCTCAATGGCTGTCTTCTCTAATACAGGAGGTCTTCTGCCCTACAAGAAGGACTGAAGGAAGCCATTGGAGTGCCTCTTCGCCTGGCTGAGAAGATTAATACTTTGTGGCAACCTTTACTGGAATTGTCAAAACATGGGAACATTGCATGTATATCTGACTTGCAGGTATATCTGTTATATTATACAAATACCTTTTTTAAATTCTCATTTGTGTCAGCTGGAACTAGGGCTGTGCCTGATTTTTCCAATGGAATAAGTGTTTTGCTGGCAGGGTAATTCCTCTATATTGCTTGATATTTGTTCTTGTCCCGGTACACCCAACTTGGGTTTAATCTAAAGTGCAGAAATGGTAGCAAGTATAAATGTGTTTTTTTTTATTTATTTTTTTTAAATTTAATGCCCATTATATTTTGCTGCACCCTGTCTTTCAATCAATTCTCAGCATTAGAGCTGTGTGCCGGTGGGTCTAATGAGAGTTGAGTGACAGGTAAAAAAATAGAACCATCCCAATTCAATGCTCTTCTTTGTAAGTTAAGATCTAAGCAGAGGACTGAACCACCCAAAGGGGCTCTTTACTCCTTCTCACTGTGCTGCTCACGTGGCAAGCTTTTTATCATGCCTGCAGGGGCATATTGGGCACTTTGACTTGGCTGTGCTCTCAGTGAAGCCAGCATGCCCGGTAGTATCCCCAAGCAGAGCCAATCATGTGTCAGATGGGACAAGACCAGAGGATGGTAAAAACACGGACACCCACAGATCCTGTGAGAATGGTGGTGCTGCAGTGAAAGGCAGCAGGTAAGTGCTAATCTTTACGTTTCAAAGCACAGAAAGACATCATTAAACATATACAGAATAAACAGGCCCGGTTCAAGCATTCTTGCCGCCCCCTCATAAAGGCATTTAAATTCTTACAGGTTTATTCACTAAATTCTGAATTGCAATGAAGAGACCTTTAGGGAAGAAAACACACTGCATCGAAACACTCATCCAGTATATGCGTCCATATACACACACTGCCTAATACATCTATCCATCCACACAGACTGCCTATTACACACAATCAACCATACGCACACAGCCCAATACATCAATCCACACACACCGCTTAATGCATACATTCATACACTCATACTGCCTAACGCATAGATCAATAGAAACATACTGCCTAATACATATATCCATACACTCTTTTTCAATGCATTTGGTGGTATTTAATTTGTAATAATACTGGTGTTTAATTTGTTACTGTGAACATTTTTTTTCAGTTCAATAAGAAATTCTATCATTTATATATTATAAATATAATATAAAAGTATCTAATTGCATGGTCACACTAGCACACAGTGTCACTCACACACTCTGACATACATACACATTTTCACTAACACACTTTCACTTGCATACAGTGTCACTTCCAGGGAATGAGAAAAGGGCCCTGTATTTGTTCTGCACATCGCAAGCAAATTTAATAACATGTTTACGTTGTTTGCTTGAAACTTGTCTCAGGGGCTTCCATAATTGGGATACTCACTGTACCCCATTTATGGAGACACTGTGTGATTGCTTAAATGGAATCTAGTATGTGCATAGGTGATCCAGAGTGTGTATGTCAGAAATGTGGTGTGTGTTTGAAGGACTCAGGAGTGTGTGTGTGTGTGTGTGTGTGTGTGTGTATATTTGTAGATGATCCAGAGTTGGGTAAGGAATCTAGTTTGTCTGGAATTTAATGTGTTTAGGGGTGCAGTATGTGTGTGAGGGGTTCTGTAGTGTGTGTGTGTGTGTGTATAAATATATATATATGTGTGTAGTATTTTGTGTGAGTGGTGCAGCGTGTTTGGGGGCTGCTGTGTGTGTGTGTGTGTGTGTGTGTAGGATGTAATGTGCATTTGTGAGGAGAATAGTGTGTATGAGGGTGCTGTGTGTGGGTGTGGGTGTTAGGATTGTATGTTGAGGGGAGGCAGGCCAATATTGATTTATGGTTATATTTTTTTTAAACCGCTTTACATATAGTCACACTTTATTTCCACACACAAACACAGCAATTTAATACACACACCGACCCATTTACCATCATACACTCATGCTCCTAATCCGTCCCTTTCCTTCAGATGTGCTGTGAATGAAGGAAAGAGGTCCAGTCTGCAGGTATCTGCCATTGTTCCTGATGAGGGGAGAAGGAGAGCAGTGCACTGTGAGCACAGGCTGCTTACTGTTCCCCGCAGAGTGATTCTGGTGTTCACAGGCAGGAGCAGCCGGGATACCAAGTCATGTCCCGGCTTCCGCTTCATGCAGGAAGCACATTGATCTTTAACCACACACCATAGGCTCCTGCAAGATCCAACAAACTATTAACAGAGCAGGAGATACATTTCTTTTTTTCTAAATTAAACAGAATTTGTCATAAAGAAAGTGTAAACATTAGATTTCACTTTACAGGAAGTGTTTCGGAAGGATATTCAGGTTATTTGCAGGGCTGCATAAACAAAGTGATTTAACTCTTAAATGGCAGAGAATTGAGCCGTGAGACTGCAGGGGTATGAACGATCCTATTGAATCAGTGACCACTTATAAAATGTTTCAATACTACTACATAAGAAATGCTTCGTGCCCTGCATGTTAATTGTCCAGTGACTTTGTTTCCTATGCTTAGTCTGCATGCACTAATTGGTCTTTCATTCTTCTTGTTCAGGTTGCAGCTAAAGCTTTAGAAACTGGAGTTTCTGGGGCTTATTTTAACGTTCTGATCAATCTGAAGGAAATCCACGATGCAGAGTTCAAGATGAAGGTACAGTTATCAGTCCTGCCAATTTTAGCAGGTCTTAAAGTGCCCCACCTTCAGGGTCCCCCTCCCGCCAGGCTCTGGGGAGAGGAAAGGGGTAAAACGTACTTTTTTTTTGCCCCGGGCGGGGAGCTCTCCGCCTCCGATCCTCCTCCTCTCCTCCCATTCGGCTGAATGCGCACGCACGGCAAGAGCTGCGCGCGCATTCAGCCGGTCTCATAGGAAAGCATTTACAATGCTTTCCTATGGACGCTTGCGTGTTCTCACTCTGATTTTTCACAGTGAGAATCATGCAAGCTCCTCTAGCGGCTGTCAATGAGACAGCCACTAGAGGATTTGAGGGCTGGATTAACCCATTTATAAAATAGCAGTTTCTCTGAAACTATGTTTATAAAATATAAAAATGGGTTAACCCTAGCTGGACCTGGCACCCAGACCACTTCATTAAGCTGAAGTGGTCTGGGTGCCTAGAGTGGTCCTTTAATATCAGGTGAGGGAGGTAGTTCACATAGACAGAGCCAGCAGTGGACATGTGATACAATGTGGTTGTCCACTGAGGGGATGTGTCCTACAAGTGCATTAGATGTGACCAGGATGGAAAGTTTTGTGTGACACGGCAGAAATGTGTTATTAAAGAAATTGTTAATGTGCATAAACTACATCTTGTCCCATTCCCTTTTTATTGGACATTTAGAATAATGATAATCAAAGAAAAATTCCTAATCAGGTCCTCTCAATACTTGTCTTTTGGCTCCGTTGCAGGGATATTTGCTAAGAAATGTTGATTTACCTCTTATCTCTTACACTATAGGCACCCAGACCATTTCATCTTATTGAAGTGGTCTGAGTGCACTGACCATGTCCCCTTAATCCTGCAGCTGAAAACACTGCAGTTTTAGAGAGAGACTGCCTCCCAGGCAGCCAGTAGAGGCGCTTCCTGGCCCTAACAGAGTTTAACTTTGCAAGCTGTACATGAGGACAGGTAGCATCTTGCTAATCCCCATAGGAAATCATTGGTTCAATGCTTTCTTATAAGAAAGGCCCAATACACGAGCGGCACTTGGAGCTCATGCTCTGATGTCGGAGGAGGTAGAGATAGAGCCAGCACTGAGGGACCTTGGTGCTGGAATCAGGAAAGATTTTAAATGGGTTTGAACCCTTTGATTGTTGCGGGGGCAGAGGAACACTACTTTGTATTTTTAACACTATAGTGTGCCTTTTTAATCAATCCTGATTCTACCATTGTTCCCAATGAGAGAGCGGTGTATCCCATTGTATGAGAATCTGCTTGCAAAAATACTCCAACAGTGCTAGCAGCCAGCGGGTAAATAGTTAAAAACCTCTCAGGAGCACAATGGTTAATTATGTGAGGGCTGGCCACAGCCACTACATCAAGTGAAAGGGGGTTGGTGGGGGCTCTTGCTATATGCAGTCTCCCCATGATCTTATAAAAGGTAGAATCTACTCCTGGTTTAATCTACATGTGTTTTCCTCCCCTATTCAGACCCAGAATAAAGTCTCACAGCTATTGGATGAAGCAAAGAGATGCATGGAGTCTGTGCTACGAGAGTGCAAGGCCAGAGTCTGAGATCATGTTGATAATAAGCATAAAATAAACTTAAAACCGCTTGTTAATGATGTCTTGGTCTTTTTACATTTTCTTTTACTTTGTCACTTGTTTGCTTAGGGTTGCTTTGTACTTTTTTTTTTTTTTTTTTTTTTTGCTCGAGGTTTTATTTTTGCTTCTGTAGACATAGCTTTAGTGGGAGGGAAAGTTCTGAAACCGGTTTTCTGTTGACGCAGACTGACGGGGCACTATTACATATTATATACCTGAATATCTGTCCACTGCCCAGCCCCTTTGCCTGCCTCTGTCCTCCCTGTCTGTCACTAGTCCTACCTGCTTGTCCACTTTTCCTTGCCTATATATGTAGCAGAGCTACTTCCAGGGCGTTTGCTGAAACTTCCTTGCAAGGCTTCAGTGTCTGGTATGTATACAAAATGCTTCTGTCTGTGTATTTTCTGTTTGTTTTTGTTTTTTACTCCAGTATTCCAACCAGTTACTGGATTTGTTAGGTCTCTGTATATTGTGAAATATATTGCAATTTTTATTCTTCATAATTACGATCCTATGGGAAAAAAATATTATAAATATTATAATTAGTTTGTGTATTCTGTGCAATAAAGATTGCAATGGCCATAGATGGGAGAAATGTAATGTTTCTCCATTTTAGGGGTAACAAAGGTTTTATCTGTGATTTGCATAGAACTAACCAAATGTTAATTTAGAACTGTAGTAGATAAACCAATCCCGTGGTGTGTGGGTTTTTATACACCTGAAATTTTTTATTTTTTTTTATAAATGTTTTAGAATATTCAAACAGGGGTTTTCATGCATAACTTAACTAACTGAACATTACATGTACATGGGATCTGTGATCGACGTTTCAACCTGTACAAGGTTTTTTATTTTATTTTTTTCAAGATGTAGGGGTCGAAATGTTGATCAGGACCTTGTGTATGTTTGCTTGTATGCATTAAAAGAAACGCAACTTTTCACAAAAATCCCTTGGAGTGCACCGAGGTAAAAATTCAACCTTAAACGTTAGAGGTGTGTGTGTGTGGGGGGAGAGAGAGAGAGTTACGTCCTAACACATTACAGATCATATATCTTGAAACAAAGTTTTTTTTTTTTTTTTTTTTTCTTTTTTTTTTTTTCTTCCTATTCTGCCCAATCCAAGGCATTGGAACATGTGTGCACCAGGGAACTGTCTGTGCAGCAAGTAGCAGGGCCATGCAGCGAGCACTTTAACCATGCTCCACATTGTCCTCTGTATTGAAGGCAATCTGCATACCTCCAATGCTGGGATGGAGACATATCCTGAGGCTGCAGGCCAATGAGATTGTGTTATGTCGGAGGGAGCCTGATCTGTGCATACTGAACACTGTAATCTCCAGAGGAGAGGACTAGGGCTGGAATGGCTCCCTCAAAGCATGGCAAGTGCACACACCCTAACCTGACCACACTATTGCGCATGCACACACACTGTTCCCACACACACAGCCTCCTGGCCTGCCCTCTTCATAGAGGACCATGCATAGTAATGCACGGACCTAGAACATGCATCACAGCACGAGAGCATCTAATGATGCACGCTCACTGTTCAGCCTGGAGATTAATTACTGGTGTTCCTGTATGGGGGACAGGACCCCAAAATAGGGGCTATCCTGCCAAAAGCTGAAGAATTGGGAGGCATACATGCCCACATTCTGCTACCCCTACCCACACTGTTACACACACTACCACATCCAAACATACTCCCATAGATACATATACACACTCCGATGCAGACCTATACTACAGACCTATACTATATATATATATATTTTTTTATTTTTTTAAAGCAGTGCTTTACTTCAGAATTTTGTGGCTACAGGTGCTCCTGTTGTAACAAAGCCCTGTTTACAGGTACAGTTAGGTATTCGAATATTATCTAAAAATCTGAAGTTAATCCTGCTACAGTAGTGAGAATGAGCCAAGTCAGAACAACAATTTGACCCCTAGAGAGTTCACAAAGTCATTACAAAATCTGTTTGTATATGCACTCACATTAACAAGCGCCATCCCTAATTGCAAACATTAATGTTAAAGGATAAGATACATGTACCAATGAGGATAAAATCAAAAGTTAATATTAACACTGGGGGTATTCAGAGGGAATATTTACTGCCTGCATTACAAGTTAATAGCTAGACAGGCAATAATTCTCTGCTGCATTACATATACAGAATATGTGAATAAAGATAACTGAATTGTTGATGTGTGAGTGTACATGGAGTTTGCCCACTATAAAGAATGTACATAGATGAAGAACAATAAAATATTGAGATGTAACTTTTTCTTCAACTCGCACAGCATTGTTGGGGGCTAGGCTTTATTTAGAGTTCCGGGTTCTAAAGACTTGCCTACACTATGGACGTTTTTCTTATCCTAAACATTGTGGTTATAAAATAGTTTAATGTGCACATGGAGTACTGCATCAAAACAAAACAAAAAAATGTTCCAGACACAGCTAAATAGTTAGGAGCCAGGCACTGTGCATTATATAATCGAAGCAGCTAAACTTTTGTGGATACCAAGATTAAACAACTTCTGGGATCTATGTGATTACTGCATGTACCCGTAAAAATACAAATACTGTTGTAATACTGAGAAATATCCATTGTGCCTAAACCACTTTAAAGGACCACTATAGTGCCAGGAAAACATACTCGTTTTCCTGGCACTATAGTGCCCTGAGGGTGCCCCCACCCTCAGGGTCCCCCTCCCGCCCGGCTCTGGAAGGGGGAAAGGGGTTTAAACTTACCTTTTTCCAGCGCTGGGCGGAGAGCTCTCCTCCTCCTCTCTCCGTTGCCGCCGGCTGATGCGCTGCGGCGGAAGCTGCGCGCATTCTCTCATAAAAGCATTTTTTCCTGGACGCTGGCGTGCTCTCACTGTGATTTTCACAGTGAAAAGCACGCAAGCGCCTCTAGTGGCTGTCAATGAGACAGCCACTAGAGGCTTTGGGGGAAGGCTTAACCCATTCATAATTATAGCAGTTTCTCTGAAACTGCTGTAATTATGAAAAAATGGGTTAACCCTAGAAGGACCAGGCACCCAGACCACTTCATTAAGCTGAAGTGGTCTGGGTGCCTAGAGTGGTCCTTTAAGATCTCAGACTACATAGAACTTCAGGTAGGTAAAAGGAGCACTACCCTAGATAACCTAATCTGTCAAAGTGAAAAGTACTGTTAGCACTGCTTGAGACTAGCCCTACTTACAATGGTTAGAGACTAGCTTGGGTCCTATGTCAGTTGACTTGCCTCTGCCTAAGGGCATATTCTACATGTCTAGCCACTGACTCACTACCTAGTTCTCTGGGAGTCTTCAGCAATTTAGGTTTCATCAGTAGCTCATCTTTTAAAGAGTGAGGTAGTACAAGTCAAAACCTATTGAGCGATACGTATTGTTTCTACAGAATATTGTCAGGCATCGCATGTGCTCCAAGTTGTGGGGTTCCCACTCTTTGCGGTGCTGTTCCCACAATTCTGCCAACTTTTAGTTTTGATACTGGACCTGTCTACCTGGCCCCAAGATGTTCATGTCTGCCACAGGTCTGCACCCATACATGGAAATCTCTGCAGAATAATGGCCATACCCAGAAACTATATTCTCTTAATCCAAAGTAATAAAAACTTTTACCATTAAAGGGACACTATGCTCACCAGAACAACTACAGCTTAAAGTAGTTGCTCTGGTGAGTATAATTATTAAATGCAGGCAGTGCCGGACTAGCCCACTAGGATATCGGGAAAGTTCCCGGAGGGGCTGGTGCGCGGCCACCTTGTGCACACTGGCCCACGGGCTGCACCGTACTATAACAGAGTAACTGGCAGGAGGGGATGAGCTCCCCTCCTGCCGGTCACAGAATGTAGGGTGACCGAGCAGGCAGACTGCATGGAGGAGTTCCTGTTCCCTTACCCGGTCTGACAGGAAATGCTCACCGAGAGCACATGACTGCTTCCTGTCAGACCGGGTACAGTAAGCAGGAGCTCCTCCAAGCTGTCTGCTTGCTAGGCCATGGTACAGGAAGAGCTGGGAGGGACTAATGGGACACATGGGAGCTGGGGGGGACTAGTGGGACATGTGGGGGCTGGGGGGGAACTAATGGGACACGTGGGGGCAGGGAGGGGCTATAGGGACTGCGTGGAGGGCTGGGAGGGGCTATAGGGACCTATGGAGGAACTGAGGGAGATACGGCACATGGAGGTCTGGGGGGTTAATGAGACAAATGGACGTATGGGGGGCTAATGAGACATGTAAGGCTGGAGGGGTGGAATAAGACACATGGAGGACTGGGAGGGGGGCTTTAGGGGCACATGGGGGGCTAAATGAGACACATGGAGGCTGGGGGTCTAATAAGACACATGAAGGGTCTGAGGGAGCTAACGAGACGAATGAGGTCTGGGGGGATGGATTGAGACACGTGGATGTTGGATTTAGAAGCTTGGAGCGGGGGTAATGATACACATGTAAGGATGGAGGGGGTGGAATGAGACACATGGAAGGGCAGGGGAGTACAAACACACACAGAGAAGCTGGGGAGAAAGAGACAGAGGGGCTGAGAAAGGGGAACAGGAGACACAGAGAGGTTGGGAGAATGAGACACACAGAGGAGCTGTGGGGAAAGAGAAACACAGAAGTGCTGCGACCTGGCAAAGAGACCAACAGAAGGGATGGGGAAGGGGAGAAAGAGACGAAGGGGCTGGGGCTAAGAGACACATAAAAGGGGCTTGGGGGAGAAAGACACAAACAAAATTCATCTTCACTTGTGTCTCCTGCTCTCCCTGTAATTTAGAGTCGACCGGTGAGAGAGAGACTTCGTATTAAAGGGACATTAAAGTCACCAGAACTTCTACGGTTTAATGTAGTGGTTCTGGTGTCTATAGCCTGTCCCTGTATGCGGAGCCCTGTAAATGCTACCTTTTCAAAGAAAAGGCAGTGTTTACATTGCTGCCTAGGAACATCTCTTGTAACAGTCACTCAGATGGCCACTAGAGCTGCTTCCTAGTCCAGTGCTGCACAGTGTGCAAATGCATCTCCACGCTCTGCATGGAGGCGCTGAATGCTCCCGATAGAGATGCATTGACGTTGGCGTTGACTGAGATCATCCAGTTGTCAGCCAAAATGAAGAGCACACTTGTTACTTTAAAATGAGCAAGATAACGTAATTTCTTTACTACTGTGCAATAGCATACATTCACAATTTCAGTCCAATTACGAAACTTTCCATAATATCAAGGTAGTTGGACTGAAACATTGATTATATGCAAATGCATGTCTGCTTACAACAAATCTTCTCTTTTGTTTATTTTGAAGCCCTATGAGTGCCTTCTTTTACGTTTGAGTGATAGTTTTCAGTTTTTTTTTCCCATTTTCATATCTGCACACTATGCTGGCGCGATATATTTTGGGGCTGGTATAGCATTTCTTTCCTGGGCTGATTTTCATTCCCAGTCCGGCCCTGTATGCAGCATTTTCATGCAAACACAGTTTACATTGCCTCTAGATGGCCACTGGAGGTGCTTCCTGGCTCAGTGCTGCACAGTAGGCAGCTCTGCTGTTCAGCGTCCCAACACTCTGCATGGGGACGCTGAAATTTTCATAGAGATGCATTGATTCAATCTATCTCTATGAGGAGATGCTGATTGGCCAAAACTGTGTTTGACCCCACACCCTTGCCGATTTTAGCCAAATCCAATGGGAAAGCATTGGATTAGCTAAAGATGGTCAATTCTGATGTCACCAAGGGGGAGGGGCCAGTGCAGGCATGGCGCTGGAAATAAGGTGAGTTTTTTTTTACTTTTAAGGGGGCTAAGGGAAGGGCAAGCCACCTAAATGGTGGGTTTAGCACTTCTGGGTCAGGAATACATGTTTGTGTTCCTGACCCTATAGTGTTCCTTTAATGGTACTCAGAAATGGCTTTTTGACTACAGTATTTAAAAATTCTGCTTATTGCTCCTTTCTTAATCTGCTCTCGGATGCTACTGAAATTTCTGCCTAGAGGGAAATTAAAGCATTGTCGTTTCAACTGCATCTTTACATCTTGTTCCTACGATTATTTGCATGGACAATTATTGGTAATCTGTACTGATAAACCTGCATATCACGGCAAATTGCAGTGAGTTGGGTCCTTGTGACATCTATAGAAATTAAGAACCCCAGAGCACGGTGCATCTAATTCTTTTTAATGTACTTTTCCAGTCATTATTTTTAACAAATATAAAAAAACAAACAAACAAAAAAAAAAAAACGGCCAAACCTGAGCATTTATTTGCTTTACCCAAATAATTTAAACTATTACAAATCTAAATCTTGCCTCCTAAAGCTCACAGGGAACGCTACTGTACTATTTTTGCCCTTCTCTTTTCTATGTTTGGCACCCGTGACAAGGCTGACACTAACTTCTTAGATGCTACAGATTTACTCCTCTTCTTCAGATATCTTACATCTTTTACACCTCTTGGAACTTTGTCAGTTCAAGTTCAACACCCACTGTCTGTTTTTATGACTTTTTGAGCAGTTGGATACAGATTGCACACCTGGCAATCTATTTTCCCCTTAGGGGCATATTGCAATTGTATTGTTTATGTTGATACACCCCGCCTCATCCTGGATTCTAAGCTTGTTTGAGCAGGAATCTTGTCTTTTCTCTTGTTCCTATATGCATGAATTTATGGGTTTTATATCAATATTAATAATGGTAATGTGTTCTACTATTTACCTGCTTCTATGTAGAGTTTCTGCCATGCATTGTAAGCAATGAATACATATAAATGTATGTTTTTGGGTTGTGTTAACAAGGTCCAATTATGTTAAATTAAAAAAAAAAATCTGATTATTAAATGCCCCTACAGGTTTTAATGCATGCATCTGTAAGAAGAATGCATTCTTTATTTTACAACAGAGATAGACATAGGAGTGGTGTGCATTAGTGTATATGTGTGTATGTATGTAATTTAATATAAAAATTGTCGGTTTAGAACAGCCAATGACACTCCCTACATATTGGATAACAAGAAAATCTGCATTCTTGACATTAAGTTTTTTGCTAATGATATGTCCCAGCTAAGGGAGTGTCAGACCTCTACGAATATACAAAGTCAAACAAGTGATAGGGCTTAGCTGATGCAGAGAGTTTGCAAGAATAAAAGGCATTATGTGTATGCATGAGATGAGGAAAACTTGGTAACTGGACCAAATATTACTGGGCATTCATATACAGAATCGTAACTGCAATACATATTTATTGTTGTAACGAGTGTCGCTAATTAAAAGAAATTCTATATGATTATACCAATAAAGTCATTAAAACAACTCGATTAAAAAATAAATATGTAATAGATCAGGGTTGCACAAAAGGTAGATCCCCAGATGTTTTAAAACTACTGCTTTCGTGATTGCTTTGTCATTCTAAAAGGCATGTAAAGCATCATGGGAGTTGTAGTTCTACAACATCTGGAGATTTACCTTTTGGGCACCCCTGAAATAGATATTCCAGTCCTCCAGAAGCATTTAACTATCCTTATGGGTTACCTTATTAAAATAAGGTAGTGTGTGGGGTTTCACTTGATATGTGGGCTAATGCTAAATACAGAAAATTTGTTTTATTTATACTACCGTGAAAATTATGAAGTGGTTTGTCTTATTTTGACAAAATACTATTCCCTGCAGGTCTTCACTTTCCATTCTGCAGGGAATGTCAGACATTTTCTATTGAAGAACTCTTCAGTTATTTCCAGTTAACAAAATGGTGGTAAAAATGTTTGGGGAATATGGTTTTAAAAGCATTCAAGCTTTGGAGTCTACTTACTAAATATGTAATAGCAGTAAATAGTACCCTGAATTGCAAACAAAAGTTTTTTGTTTTTCATTTTTTCTCCTTTTCCCCAGAATATTTTTTAACTTTTCTGCAGTCCCAGCTTGGCTATTATAGGCTACAATTTGCATTTATTTTCTCAATTCACTAAAATTACTAAGAAATAACCACGGAAAGCTTCACCATTCTCAAACCTCTGCAGTTTGGCAAGTTGCTGTCCTCTGTGATTATTCTGTCTGTGCCTGTTCACATCACCACCAAGAACCTATTGTCGCTTTGCTAACCAGGATACAAGAACAAGCAAGGGCAAATCCAGGCATAGCTACTAATTATGGGCAATAACTATCATCTGTGGCAATATATTACAGTCGTATGGCTCCTGTGGCCCTTTTATACTTTTGCAGCCTTTGGTTATGTCTATGGGAAGATTGTACCAGTGCTAATTTACAGGTTTTCCTCTTGCTAGGATTTTTCTCTTGTTATTAACTCATCGGACCTCTAACAGTCTTGCTAAAGTGCTTTAGGAGTTTTGAAATGTTCCTTTAACATAGTACCTTTTGTAAATGCCCTAATATAAACATGTGTCCACAGCAATGTTAAACGGCCATTAGCTACAACTATATGCTCATATTATCATAATGTAATATGGTCACACGTGCTGTGCTTAGCATAGAAACAGCCTAACAGACATAAAAATTATCTGAATTGCGTAAAGGGATGACAGGCTGACGGAAATTGCAATCCTAATTTATAAGGTGGCACTGCCTGGATATAAAGGTATAATGGGATGTGACTATTTATGGTATTTATTCACTAATAATAATAAGTAAACTGAGATTCATTAGAGGCAAATAAATATATAAAATAAAATGATATTGAATTTTTTAGTTATAGTCACTCCTTGGCTTTTTTAACCTGAATTTTGTCATAGCTTTTATCATTATTTAAGCTATTAGGGTTGTTTAGTAAAGTATGAATTTTATGGAATTTTTATTGAATTGTACAATTTAGGCCAATAAAGTATGGAAAACATAGATGACTTGAAGAATTTTTTCAATTACATTATTGTGGCCTAAAACACACTTCAAATTAATTTTGAATTCCCAACAAGTCACATTGAATAATCGTGTAGATGAAGCATAAACTACAGTCTTTGGCATTCTCAGCTTGAGCAGGTCTACAAAACTGGAATACAGTGGGACCTCGGTTTACAAACGCCTCGGTTAACATAATTTTCGGTTTACAAATGAAAATCCATTGAAATGAATGCCTCGGTTTACAATTTTTTTTCGCAATACAAAGCAAGTTTCCCCAGGATGCATTGCACCTTGGAGGTTTATAGCACCACCCCCTGCATGCTGGAGCCTGTGGGTAGCACGTGGCATAGAGTGTGGAGGTGTTGCAGGTGTTTTGCATCGAGTTGTGGAGCCATTCTGGAAATTGTTTGCAGTTGTTTTGGGACTTTTTGGTGCATTTCTCAAGCTGTGGTAAGGTAGAGAGCTGAGCTTTGTGGTTTGCATGCCTTTTATTGTGTGTTCTGCATTGTGGGTTGGTTTCCATGCCAGCTCATTTTTACTTTTTTTTCTAACCTCCAGAATGGATTAATTGGTTTTCAATGCATTATTATGGGAAACCACGTTTCGGTTTACAAATATTTCGCAATAAGAACGCATTAAATTCGTAAACCGAGGTCCCACTGTACATTAAAAAATAATTTATGGTAGGGATATCAACCTATGTTCTAGACAACTAATAAACAGAAGACCAAAAATCCTGTGGGTTTAGATCATGGTAGAATTTAATGGGACATATTATATGTGCACTATGGTGGCCAACCTTGGGTATATGTTTAGACTACCAAAGAAATAGGGCACTTTTATCTCTATTTATTTTTCTAATTGTGTTTAAATGTAAATATGGGTCTTGAATACTATATTTATGTTTTTAATTTATTTTTGTTTTTCTAGACTCTTCATCATGTGGAATCCAAACCAAAGTAAGTTACTCCTATTGGATGTAATCAATACTGATCCTGAAAACATTGCTTGACTGCTAGGCCAAGGAAGTGACATTCATTTCAGGCTAAACTACACATATTGATGATAGAGGATCTGTACATCCAGAGCCTTAAATGAACACTGCAAGTATCATTACCACTGCAGCACAGTGGGGTGCTCTGACACCCACCCATTGTAAATTTCATATACATTGTGCCCTCATTATCACCAATATTTTAGCAACAATTTAGAGAGATCCAATTCCTACATACATTTCCTTCAGTTTTACAAGTCTATCTAATTCCCATTTTATTCTTCACAATCTATCTGCCAAAGTGAAATTCTTACACATGTGAATATATCGAACTCACAGAGTAAAATTAAAAATTTAGATTTTTCTCTGGTTTGAGTGAAGGTTCTTTCAGAACATATAGCCCCATCGCTAAAATAGGGGAGAAGAACATTTCAAGGTGGGGATCCCTGCTGGGAACAAAGAAATTATGTGAAATTAAAACTAAGATAGGCACACTCTTCTGGCCTGGCCTTGCCCTAATCATAGCTTTAGTTGTAGGTGAGCTAATAATATGAGGACCTAGGCCAGGATATGGCTTTCTATAATATAACTAATCCAAGTAAGGGCCAAGGAGATTCACTGGCTCTAAGCCATTAAATTGGAAAAAAAAGACATGGAGCAATAACCAAGGATTATCTCTTAAACTGCAATAAGGAAATTACACTATGCTGAGGGAATATGAGCATCTCCGTTCAGAATTACATTTAAGTCAACAAAATATAACTATTTCTTATTTCACACCAGCATGACACAATTCACCACATAGCTACAATTGTATAAAAGTGATCATCATTGTCTTTGGTTGCCACTAATCCTTATTATATTTATTTTTAGATCCTTGTGGCCAGCCCCCATATGGACAACCTGGCTTTCCTCCTCAACCGGGGACCTACCCTGGACAATACCCAACAGGATGCCCCCCAGGATACCCAGGCCAAGCTCCACCTCCTCCAACAGGTGGATATCCAGGTGGATATGCACCGCCTTGTGGGCCTGGACATCAAGGACCTCATGGTCATCATGGTCAACATGGCCAGCATGGGCATCCTGGTCCTCATGGACACCATGCTCATGGCCAGCCTGGCTGCGGTCCTCAGCATGCAGGTGGTGGATGTGGTCCCTATGGGAAACACAAGAAACATAAGCAGCATAAACATGGCCATGGAAAGGTGAGCATAATTTTACTTGATTAAAACAACATTAACTAGCTAGAGCCTATCCTGAAAATGATATAAAAGTACAGTGCAGAACAATGACTGCACAAAACAATGTACTGCACTTAAAGTATATTTCTTGCAACATATAATCCAATAAAATTCCACAAAAAGTTTTCAAATCTTCTTTTCTGGATTCATAAATTATCTGAATTTCCTTTGGAAAGAGGAAGCCTGCATACTAGCTTTCATCCTGACATAGCTAACCTGTTCAACAGTTGGCACGATGCTCGCCATTTGTAAAACATGGCTTTAACTTCTACATGTAACATTAGCTTATCTTTTAAAACTGGTGTAGGCAACATCCATAGGCTGGCTGTTTCAAGCAGAATGCCAATGGACTGTATTTCAACAACAAAATTCTTCCTATCACTGTTCTTGGGCAATTTAGGAACTGCAGGAGAAACTTGGATTGATAAGGAGAATTCATGGTTCTATACTTTCTTCAGAATCGGAATCTGCTTAATGTAGTTCTGAGAAAGTTAGAGAGATTGTGGACCTGGACCTTTTCCATGGGTTGTAAAATTAATTGCAGGTCAGTGTGTCCAACACAATGAGTTTATTTGAATCTTATCAGAAATATCCAGTAAGTGGATTAATCATTAAGACTCTATAATCTGTAGTTGAGTTTCTTAATATAATTTTTTTTGGGCAAATATTTTTATTGACGTGTAGAATTTTTCCTGGGAAATACAACAGGACAATAAGAGATACATTTGTGACAATTTGTAAAATCATCGGAACAAGAGAGTAACATAAGCAAAGTTATATTGTGGTAAAAAATAGACTTAAAAGACAAAGAGCAAAACCAGAAACATATCTTCAAAAAGTCTATGCAAAAGATAGGAACGTACAGTAAAAAGAAAGGGGAGAAAGGAATGGTGAGTACTGCCCACCCTGGTGAGTACTGCCCACCCTGTACGATCTCTACAAAACAACAACGACTAAGATTAAAAAAAAAAACTAAACAAAAAGGAGAGGCAACCTAACTACAAGAACCAAGTAGGAACTATTTTCCAATTTAGGTGCATGCAGTTTTCGGTTCTCCTGGGTGCCTGTATTTCGTTTTGCATCCAGTGCAGTGTTCATTTTGTTGAATTACAATTTTAGTCAGATTTTAGTTGACTAACAATTTTTGGAAATTTAGTCGACTAAAACTAGACTAAAACAACAATTCAGATGACTTAAATACGACAAAAATTAAAATGCTGTTTTTAGACAAAAGACTATGACAAAAACTCAATTGAAATTTGCCGCCCAAATTAACACTGCATTGAGGGGTAGTGGAAGGGGCAAAAGAGATAGACCAGAGCTTGGGAGAGAGACACTTAGAGGGGCTTGGGGGACACACAAAGAGACACAGAAGGGCTGGAGAAGGGGCAAAAGAGACAGATGGAGGCTTTACATAAACCCATTAGATTTTAGTCGTGTTGATGAAATCTACTGAAGATTTAGTCGACTAAAATCTACTGGAGGTTTTGTCTACTAATATCTAGTGGAGACTAAAACTATACTAAAACTATTCAGATTAATAAAATACAACTAAAATGAAAATTAAATTGAAACTGATCGAGTGTTGCCTGAGCTGCATGTTTTGAGGCTAATGTGCCTGTATTCTGTTTTAACCATCATTTCTTTCCTATTCTATACAGCATGGCAGTGGATCCAGCAGCTCTGACTCGGACTGATTAACAAACCAACAGCAGGATTGAAATATCATCTTTCATATATATATATATATATATATATATATATAACTCTTCACTTCCATGCTCTGTAATATGAAAGTTTAAACAAGAAAGCACAGTTTATATTCTGTATCTCTTTGAACTAATTCTTTAATTTACTTTCATTTCCTATAGTATGGAAATTCCTATAGATACAATAAATGTATTTTATAAGATTTTTGTTTTTGTGTGTTTCCTTATATTCCATCCGAATTTAACAGTATGAGCTGAAAAATAAAATAAAAAAAATATATATATTTATTTTTTTCAGACTACCAGTTGGTAGTTGGGTACTGCTGTTTTTAGTAATTTTGTGTTACAATATTTTATATGTTCCAGGACTAATAGTTTCACGGTAAAATAACTGTAATTGGGATTTCATCTCATCAGAGCCAAATTGAGATTGCCTCCCTCCTGGAGTCCTGACCTGTGGGATGGCTGAGTGTTTATGTGTGTGTGGTGACTGAGTGTTCTGTTTGTATTGGGTTTATGCAGGGCCGCCATCAGAAATTTTGGGGCCCCTAACACCGCTCAAGGTCTGGGCTGCGGCAACGCTCAGATCTTACGAGAGTGAACTCTAGCCCGCAGGCTAGAGTTCACTTCCCACTAGGACCACCAGGAATGGTAGCAGCACGGTCCCCCCCTCCCAGGGTAAAGGTAAGAAGGGAGGGGGGGTGTGACGGATCACCTAGCACCCCGATTGGGTACCTCCGCCAACAGATGCTGCCTAGCTGACGCTGAGGACCGTAAGCACCGCACCGGACAGCACAAGCACTGCAGACTCCACAACCACTTAGCCGGGATCTCACCCTGGACCAACCTCTGATATCCAGGACCATGTGGGAAAGACCTCTCCTTCTCCAGAGAGCATAGAAGGAACAGCTCCTATAAGAGCTAGTGATTAGAACCCAGGGGAGTATAAGGAGTATAGCAATCCCAATCCCCAGTGTGAATATAGCAGTTCCCCTCGAGACCAAGCTACGTGTTGAGGGTTAAGCAGGACTCACTTTTAATGGTGCCACAGCTGGCCTTATATGCAAGTCCCCATGCAAGGGAACACCCACCTGGACCTTGTGGGGAACAGGATGACAATTGTTACAAGCCAATGATAATATAGTACAGTAGACACTCGCACACATTACACACAATCCCTCCCCTCAGCCTAGGTGATAATTGAGTCAAGTACTGTATGTAACAATTATCTCCAGGCAGAAAAACACAAATTTTTATATAGTACCATTAGTACCCCAAAACACAACATATCCCCATAAATGTTACATCCCCTGATAGCCCTGATCTAGGTGAAAAACATATCCAAAAACTACTCAGATCAGAACAGGGGTTCAGGAAATTACAGGAAGTCTCTTTTCGACCGACCGACCACACGCATGGTTTCATGACCAAAACAGTTCCAGAGAATCAGGCTGTGTGGCCGGTCTATTTCAAATTGTCGAAATACTGTTCGAATTACCGAATGTAGCCGTTCTTGAATGTAGCCAGTATATGTCCCTTGTTCGTGGGTTTCTGCCCACTGAACGCCGTTCGACTCCCGTTCGAATAGCCGAAGTTCCATGGATGTTAACTGTTCAGCGGTCTTTGTGCCGTCGCGTGTCTGATTTGAGTTCCATGAACTCAACGACAAAACACTGCTGAACACATTCGACTAAACAAGATGGCTGCCACCACGTGTTCGACTATACGAATGGCGACCACCCAGCTGTTCGTCAGTTGGTTTAACTACCAGCCTGGGAGATAAATAGGATGCACACTCCACTTGTTCGCGGTCCGGCTGTTCGGTGGTTTGAAGTGGCACTTCGAACCACTTACAAAGTTTGAAGAACCATTGAGCAAAGTCCCAATAGGCACAAATAGAGTCTCTCAACCACAATAAATTAAAGGGGCCATAGTCACAGGGTAAAAGGCTGGCAAGTAGTCCCCTCCAAACCCCAGTGGCGAAGTGGCTTTTCGCCACAGGGGTGATATAGTTATGAGTGATTTAATTATGGAGATTGCTTTCACTTTATTAGAAATACTGTGCAAATTTTATTTAACTACTATATTAAATAAATCAACCAAGCAAAGTTGATTAACTACTATTTTTCTATAATGGCAATTAGTTAGTGTAGGACAGAAATAATACTGAAATGCAAGCACTATGGAGAGATTTAAATAATAAATATATTTGTATAATCAACAGCTTTCTGTTAAACATTAGTAAAATGTACTGTCATTTTAACTGAATTGGTTACTGTGACGGAACCCCGGGTATGAGAAGGGGTTAACGCCGCAAAGGTTGTTCTTTTCCCCAAATGTGAAGTCAGCTACCGAATACTCCTAAGCGTCGAACAGGAATCTTAACGAAATATCCCCCCAAGCACGAGACGAGGCTCTGTGTTGAGGGTCAAGCAGGACCTGTTTAATGGTGGCCACATATCGGCCTTTTATACAGGTCTTCAAGCAAGGGACACTCCCATAGGGACCTTGTGGAAACTGAGACATATTTACAACATCCAATCACATACAATGACAATGTGAAAACACTCCCACATAAACAGTGCAGCTCCTCCTCTCTATCCTCGAGATAATTGGGTTAAGTGCTTGAAGTAACTCAATTACCTCCAGGTATAGAAAATATTCCCACTTTACAATAAAAGTAAAAACACATAAAAATACATAATTCTTATTTTACCGAACGGAACCCCCGCGTTCGACATATCCCCTGATAGCTTGGATCTGAGCGCTCAATATATTCGAACAGCGCTCAGATCCTATGTATACAGTCAAATCGCCATAGAGTTCATCGGGTGTTCGGCAGAAAGAATGAGTTCCATAGGTTTAGCTATCTGGGACGGTTCTGTTTGTGGATTGTCAATATACTGAACGGCACAGCGTTCGTATGAACTGGAACGAAGAGGTGGATGGTTGGTGATCTCAGCGGTGTTCGTGGGAAACAGTGTCCGAAATTAGTTCCACGTGGTTGATGACGAACACCGCTGGGCGTTCAAACTATCCAAGATGGCCGCCGCCACATGTTTGTTCATACGAACAATGACCACCCAGCTGACCGTTCGGGAGTTGGAAGTGGCTGAGGTTAACCACAGTATTAACAGGGTCAAAAAGGTTAACAAGAACCACACTTCCCTGCTGGGTGGCCCGCCATTCGGTACTTAGTTCGTCTTTTAGGGAATGCAACCAGGGAAACACATGAACAACCGGGGACTGGCGAACAAACAGACGGAACAGTCTAAATTAATAATCCAGAGGCAGGGAGGTCTGCCACAGTTACACATGACTTATTTTTGGATTTGGTCATTGATAGATGCTCTGTGTAGATAATAGTATCTATGAGAATTATTAGCTCCCGTATGCACACACTCACTACATCCCCTATACACACACTCTCTACAGTCCCTAGCCACACATATTTAATTGACCTATTCACACAATACCACACCACAATCATCTCACTCTACACACACGCAATCCCACAAGCAGGCTCCAAACAAATGCACAATACGCTTTCCTGGCCCTTTTGTCCTCTAGTATTCCACTTATGGAGACACCAGAGACAAGTTAAAAGCAAACACAGCGCAAGCATGTTATTAAATTTGCTTGCGCTGCGCAGAACAAATACAGAACAAAGTAATTTCCCAGTCTGGCCTTGCATACTAACATACACATGGTCATACATACAGACACATATATACATACTGATATACGTACTGACATCAGGGCCGCCATCAGGGCATGACAACCGTGACAATTGTCACGGGCCCGGCGGCCCTGGGGGGCCCGGCCGCCCGGGCCCCACGTGGATCAGCGGAACTGCCGCCGGTGCATCTGCACCGGGGCCCACACGCTGATGGGGCCCATCAGGTGGCCCCAATCATTTAGGGCCACCCAATGGGCCCTATTATCTTCAGGGGCCCGTTTAGCGCTGTAATAGCGCGACCGGGCCCCTTTAAAAAAAAAAAAATGCAGCCGGAAGCAAGTGCTGCTGGGAGGAAGTGACGTCCGGTCACTTCCTCCCACTTTACTCCGCGCGGGAAGGAGGACGCAGCATGAGGAGAGGCAGCCGATGCCCATCATCCCCAGCCACCCTCCTGCGACGAAATGGTAAGGAAGAGAGGAGGGTGGCTGGGGATGAAGTGTATGTATGTGTGTATGCTGGTGTATGAATGCCAGTGTATGTGTGTCTGAATGCCAGTGTGTGTATGCCAGTGTATGTGTGTGCCAGTGTGTGTATGAATGCCAGTGTGTGTGTGTGTGTATGCTGGTGTATGAATGCCAGTGTATGTGTGTGTATGCCAGTGTATGAATGCCAGTGTATGTGTGTGTATGCCAGTGTATGAATGCCAGTGTGTGTATGCCAGTGTATATGTGTGTGTATGCTGGTGTATGAATGCCAGTGTATGTGTGTGTATGCCAGTGTCTGAATGCCAGTGTATGTGTGTATGAATGCCAGTGTATGAATGCCAGTGTGTGTATGCCAGTGTGTGTGTATGAATGCCAGTGTGTGTATGCCAGTGTATGTGTGTGTGTATGCTGGTGTATGAATGCCAGTGTATGTGTGTGTATGCCAGTGTCAGAATGCCAGTGTGTGTGTGCCAGTGAATGCCAGTGTATGTGTGTGCCAGTGTATGTGTGTATGAATGCCAGTGTGTGTATGCCAGTGTATGTGTGTGTGTATGCTGGTGTATGAATGCCAGTGTATGTGTGTGTATGCCAGTGTCTGAATGCCAGTGTATGTGTGTCTGAATGCCAGTGTATGAATGCCAGTGTGTGTATGCCAGTGTATGTGTGTATGAATGCCAGTGTATGTGTGTGTGTATGCTGGTGTATGAATGCCAGTGTATGTGTGTGTATGCCAGTGTCTGAATGCCAGTGTGTGTGTATGCCAGTGTCTGAATGCCAGTGTATGTGTATGTATGCCAGTGTGTGTATGCCATTGTGTATGCCAGTGTATGAATGCCAGTGTATGCCAGTGTGTATATGCCAGTGTATGTGTGTATGAATGCCAGTGTATGTGTGTATGTATGCCAGTGTGTGGATGCCAGTGTATGTGTATGTATGTATGCCAGTGTATGTGTGTGTATGCCAGTGCATGTGTGTATGTGTGTGTGTATGTATGCCAGTGTATGTGTGTGTGTGTGTATGTATGCCAGTGCGTGTATGC